CGCGAAATGTGGCGTTCCTAGATCGAACTGTGAGTTGGGCCCGTTGCTATTTTGAGGTTGAAGCTCGCGGTATAAGGGACAAGTTGCGTAAAAGGGCGAGGGGCAATCCGGAAATAGTGAACTCGGACGCGACGAGCATCGCGACAAAAGGGCAGAAAAAGGTGACCTTTCAGTTACCAATCGAGGAGGGAGCGGCCGTAGTTGCCGAAGAGGTGCCCGAAGTTTATTGGGTGAGCGCGGAGAGAGCCCCTAGGAGACCGAGAGAGCCTGGGCTGCGCGAAGCCGGCGCAGGAGATGACGGTGAGGGCGACGACGACGTCGTGCCCCAGGGCAAGCGGGTCATCTGTAGCGTCGGGGGAATACAGGCCCTATCGGATGGTTACATCGACTGCTGCCCGTCGGAGATGCTGGCTGACACAGGCGCCATAGCGAGTCTCGTCGACAGAAGGGTGCTGAGGCGTCTTGGGCGTGACTCGGAGTCACTCCGACCTTACGGTGGAACGCTGGACAGCGTGTCGGGACACGCGATCCGTGTCCGTGGAGTAATTGATCTTCCGGCGACGCTCGGGACGCTGGAGAAGACACTTCCGTTTGTGGTGACCGATCACTTGTTCGTGGACGCGATCCTGGGGACGGATTCGTTGAAGGCGTTCCGTGCTGTAATAGACCTCGAGGAACAGTCGATGACGCTGAAGGAAACGGGGGACGTGGTCCTTTGGGCGTGGCGAGGGTGGAAGAGACGTATGCCGCCACGATCTCGGCGTCGGTACGACTAGAACCAGGTCACCAAGATCTCGTGCGGTCTCGTGTTCGAGGAGCCGTGAAGGATAAGTCGGTCGTGCTGGTCGAGGGCGTTTCAGGAGCAGACAATTTGTTGAGAGTTGCTAGGACACTATGCACAGTGACGGACGGAACGGTACTGGTCGAGGTGTGCAATGCTTCTACGGAAGGGGTGGAAGTCGAAGCTGGAGCCTACCTTGCTGCTGTGACCATCGTGCCTGAGTCGGCCTTCACTGCTGAAAATCTAAAGCGAGAAGGAACACCGGAAAACATCAGTGCCGTATTAAGCGCCTCTAGTGGAAACGCCGAAACTCGAATCGGGAAGGAAGAGGCTGAAATGACCGCGGTGATGAAGGACGGAGACGAAGATGACTTCGAAGTGGACTTCCAAGACTCTTCGTTAGGGGCCGAACAAAGGAGACTCTTCGTGGAAATGCTGAAGGACCTACGAGATTTGCTCGTCGAGACCTCTAAGAAGCCAGGGAGGACGGAACTTCTGAAGTTCAGCATAGACACTGGAACGCATGCACCGATTAAGCAGCCCCCGTACCGGGTTTCGAAGGCTGTAGGAGACGTCATGGAGTCTGAGATTCAAGAGTATCTAGACCTTGGACTCATCCGGCCTTCGACGAGCCCGTGGGCGAGTCCTGTGCTCATGATCAGGAAGTCAGACGGTGGTATTCGGTTCTGTATCGACTACAGGAAGTTGAACGCCGTCACGGTAAAGGACAGTTATTCTATGCCGTTAATCGACGACATCTTGGATGTCTTGGGGAACGCCAAACTCTTCTCGACCATGGATATTGCCTCTGGATATTGGAACGTTCCAATGGATCCCGGCAGTGTGGAGAAGACGGCGTTCACGAGCAAGTTTGGCTTGTACGAGTGGCTTGTCATGCCGTTTGGCTTGTGTAATGCCGTTCCTGCTTTCGAGCGATTGATGGAGAATGTCCTCGTTGATCTCAAGTGGAGGGTCTGCCTAGTCTACCTGGACGACTGTGTCGTCTTTAGTGACGACTTCCCTACTCATTTGGTGCGGGTACGCCAGGTCTTGGAGCGCTTCAAAGGGGCTGGATTCAAGCTGAAGATGAAGAATTGTCACTGGGGACGCGATCAGGCGGCGTTCCTGGGCCACATTGTGACTCCAACCGGAATCCTACCTAACTCTGAGAAAGCGAAAGCGGTGATGAATATCGAGAGGCCGCATGACCTGCATACGGTCAGGGCGTTCCTGGGATTGACTAGTTACTTTCGGCGTTATATACCGGGCTTCGCAGCGATTGCTGCACCGTTGGAACGCCTAAAGCAAAAAGGAGTGGAGTTCTTGTGGAACGATGACTGCGAAGTAGCGTTCCGACAACTCCAACGGGCGCTGGTGAAGCCTCCTATTCTCGTGTACCCTAATTTCAGGGAACGGTTCAAACTCTATGTGAATGCGTCGCACTTGGCGATAGGGGCATGTCTGATGCAGGAGGTCGACAAGCGTGACCGAGCAATCGCGTATGCGAGTAAGATGCTAGTAGGTTCCCAGCGGAATTGGATTTACAAGACAAGTGGAACAACGGAGATCGAATGTTGGGGAATCGTGTGGGCTACGCGTAAGTTTAGGTGCTACCTAGACCACGCCGAGTTCGACCTATTTACGGACCACCAGGCGCTCACGTGGATTTTTGGTGAGAATACGAGGACGACGAACGCCAAGTTGGCACGGTGGGCTATGGAGTTGTCGCAACTACGATTCAAGGTGCACCACAGGCTAGGAACGTCGTAGACGGCCTGTCGAGGCTATACCATCGACCGGGAAACGGTGTCTTGGGTGCAATTCGGATGGCAGACCTGCTCAATGAAGACGAGGAAGAAGGAGTCGATCCTGGAACGCCGAGTCCCGGAGAAATCCGAACGGTGGAAGGGACACCCGATCCCGGTGGTACGAGCATTGAGAACGCCGAAGAGAGTGTTGTCCCTGTCAGGGAACGTCTCGGGACCGCCGGCTCTGAGGATGGAACGCCTAGATATAGATCACTGGAGCCGGATCAACCTCTCACACAAGCGGAACAAGAAGAGGACCTCCAGAGTGGAACTCCTTTGATCCACCCGTCTCCTGTGGACGTGTTTGGACTGGATAGCGATAAATTCGTAGAAGAACAAGGACGCGTGCCTTGGATGAGGGCATTGAAGGCGTTCCTGGAGGATGGAGCGCTGGCGCTTGACCCGCAACTAAGAGTCAGCGTGTTGAAAATGTCACCCCATTACGTGGTGAGGAACGGGGTCTTAATGAGACTCGTTCACTTGGGGGCACGCGCGGGTCCAGCGAGAACGATCTGCGTGCCAGCTGTGCCATTGCCTTTCGTTGAGACGGTCTTACACTATTGTCACGCCGACATCTTCTCGGCTCACCTGGGGAAGACAAAAACCGCCGACAAGGTTAGACGGCACGCCTATTGGCATGGGTGGAAGAGAGACGTGGTCGAATTTGTACGCGAGTGTTCCATCTGCGGTGGTGGCAAAGGTCATAGGCCTTGGCGAGCGGGGCTGATGCAAAGAATGCCGGTACAAGACTTGTCAGGCCCGTTCGCATTGCTAGTGGTGGACGCTATCGGTCCCCTAGTAGTGACACCCCGGGGAAACAGATATATCCTGGTGTTCGTGGATTACTTTACGCGGTGGGTCGAGGCGTTCGCTGTCGCGTCGCTCGATACAATTTCCTTCGTCAGCACCATGATAGAGGGGGTCATCTGTCGTCATGGCGTTCCGGAACGCCTCTTAAGTGATAGAGGGTCCAACTTCACGTCGAATCTAGCGAAGTCACTGTACGAGACGCTACGAATTAAGAAGCTGTATGGGGCGGCATACCACCCACAGACACAAGGGCTTGTGGAACGCTTCAATGGAACGCTGATGGGAATGCTAAGGATGTTCGTGAATGAGACGCAGACTGACTGGGATGTGTATCTGCCGAGAGTCCTGTTCGCGTATCGGACGGCGTTCCATGAAGGCCTAGGTGATACCCCGTTCTTTAGCTTAT